GTATGCTGGCTAAGGAATTCTGGGAGTTGAAGTCTATCCATTTTCAACCACAGTGGCTGGGGAATTCTGGGAGTTGAAGTCCCTCCATTTTACAAGTATGCTGGCTAAGGAATTCTGGGAGTTGAAGTCTATCCATTTTCAACCACAGTGGCTAGGGAATTCTGGGAGTTGAAGTCCACCCCCTCATCCTAAAAGCATACTGGCTGTGGAATTCTGGGAGTTGAAGTCCCTCCATTTTACAAGTATGCTGGCTAGGGAATTCTGGGAGTTGAAGTCCACCCATTTTCAACCACAGCGGCTGGGGAATTCTGGGAGTTGAAGTCCACCCCCTCATCTTAAAAGCATGCTGACTGTGGAATTTTGGGAGTTGAAGTCCCTCCATGCTGGCTGAGGAATTCTGGGAGTTGAAGTCTATCCATTTTCAACCACAGTGGCTGGGGAATTCTGGGAGTTGAAGTCCACTCATGTTCAACCATAGTGGCTAGGGAATTCTGGGAGTTGAAGTCCACCCCCTCATCCTAAAAGCATACTGGCTGTGGAATTCTGGGAGTTGAAGTCCCTCCATTTTACAAGTATGCTGGCTAGGGAATTCTGGGAGTTGAAGTCCACCCATTTTCAACCACAGTGGCTGGGGAATTCTGGGAGTTGAAGTCCACTCATGTTCAACCATAGTGGCTAGGGAATTCTGGGAGTTGAAGTCCACCCCCTCATCTTAAAAGCATACTGGCTGCGGAATTCTGGGAGTTGAAGTGCCTCCATTTTACAAGTATGATGGCTGAGGAATTCTGGGAGTTGAAGTCCACCCATTTTAAAGCACAGTGGCTGAGGAATTCTGGGAGTTGAAGCCCATCCGCTCTTAAAAAGCAGCCAAGGATGACAACGCCTGCTGTACCTTTTTACACTAAAATGATCCACCTGGATACGTTCACATGTCAATCTTGTTGATAACCAAGCCAACGATGTTCTCATGCTCACCTCCGCCTTCCCTTCGTCAGGCTGCCGATCCCATGCGATCCTCGTACCTCAACGACCTCTGGAGCAAGTTCCTGATTGAGAACAGCGTCCTCAAGATGGAGTACGCCGATTCGAGGGTGGTGGATCTCGCCCACAAGGTAGCTGGGGAGAAGGGGGCCAGGAAATGGGGTGGGTGGGTGGAGGGTCTCCGCAGGTGGGCAGATCTATGACTTTCCAGAGAGCATCCTCGGCATTATCCCAAGGATGTGACCACCTGGTTAATTCTTGGGACACCATAACCAGAGGGAGGGGGGTCTCTCTTCGCACTTTGTCTTCGTGAAAAACCTCATAATGGTGGAAGGAGAAAGAGAAGGCTTTGGTGGCGTCATTGGCCTCCTCCTACGTCATTGTGTATTGATTTCCCGATGCTTTTTTGTAAATGTAGATTAACAGGTTCGGAAGGGACCTTGTAGGTCATCTAGTCCAACCCCCCACCCACCCAAGCGAGAGACCCTACATCCTTGTCTGACATTTCTACACCATTTTTCCCCCCCACAAGTTAAAAGCAATCACTGGTGCTGGGTGCAAATCTCATGTCGATTGCAATGCTGGAAACCTCAGCCTCGTGCAATACAGGTAGTCCTCGGCATACGTCCGCGACGCAGCCCAACATTTCCGATGCTAAGCGAGGCGGGTGGGAAGTCCATCTGCCTCATTTCGCCCCCAATTTCTTGCCACATGCCGTTAAGCCAGTCGCCGCAGTTGTAAAGCGAGCAACACCCGTTGTTAAACGAATCCGGCTTCCCCCGTTGACTTTGCTCGTCCGAAGGTCGCAAAACGGGATCGCCTGACACCCCCCCCCTCCGGGGACATGGCGACCGTCATAAATATGAATCAGTTGCTAAGCGTCCAAATTTTGATTGCGTGACCGTGGGGGTGCTGCGATGGTTGTAAGTGTGGGAAATGGTCATAAGTCACTTTTTTCATACCGTCGTAACTACAAACGGCCGTCATAAATATGAACCGAGCATCTGAAATTTTGATTGCGGGAACCTGAGGGCGCTATAAGGTGGCAACTGTCAACAACGGTCGTAAGTCGCATTTTTCGGTGCCGCTGCAACTTTGAGTGGTGGCTAAACGGACCGTTGTAAGTCGAGGACTGCCTGCTTTCAAGAGCGAAGGAGGATTGGGAAAAAAATAGAGGATCGGACGGGCGTGTGAAATTAAAAATATTAAATGTTAACCCTAAAAATAGCGATATTAAAAATTATTTAAACGAAGGCAGGAGACTGAAAGAAGCCGTGATTGGCAGCTGAGTAGGTTTACCCGCCTATAAAAGTCAGGTAAACATTCGGACGGGGATGTCAACGGTTAAAATAACAGTAACAAATTCCGATTTTATTTCAATTTTTTTGCTTTCATTAGGGCCTGACCAGCCTCTGCCACCTGGAACACCTGTTGCTGGTCACACACCTGAATCTCTCTGATAACCTCCTCTCTGCCTTCCCCTCCACAGTGGCCATGATGCGCTGCCTTGAGGTAAGTCCACTCCACACCCACCCACTCCCCTCACCCTCTTTCGGAGCTCCGCTTCTCCTCCCCACAACAGTCCTGGAACCATCAGCCACTGCTTTGCTTTCTGGGCTGAGCAAAGGGTCTCACCAGGATAAAAGTGTTAATTTAGGGCAGGGGTTTCAAACACAAGGCCCGTGGGCCGTATCCTGCCCACGAAAAATGGAAGGGAGTGACCCACGTGGCTTTCGCACCCAATGCAAAGAAAAAACATCGGGCCAGCAGTTGGGGAGTGCCATCAAGCTGGCCATGTTTACTCACAGCCACACCCACAATGTCGGTCACAGCCAATGAGTGCTGTCAAGCGGGCCATGCCCACCCAGTTAGCCATGCCCAATGAGTGTCGTTAAGCTAGCCACACCCATCCAGTCAGCCACACCCACCCAGTCAGCCATACCCAACGATTGCCATTAAACTGGCCACCCCCACCCAGTCAGCCATGCCCGAGTGCCATCAAGCTGGCCACCCCCACCCAGTCAGCCATGCCCAACGAGTGCTGTCAGGCTGGCCACCACCCACTCGGCCATGCCCAACGAGTGCCCTCAAGCTGGCCACCCCCACCCAGTCAGCCATGCCCGAGTGCCGTCAAACTGGCCACCCCCACCCAGTCAGCCATGCCCAACAAGTGCCATTAAGCTGGCCCACCCTCACCCAGTCGGTCATACCCAATGAGGGCCATCAAGCTGACCACCCCCACCCAGTCAGCCATGGCCAACGAGTGCCATTAAGCTGGCCACCCCCACCCAGTCAGCCATGCCCAACAAGTGTCATTAAGCTGGCCACCCCCACCCAGTCGATCATGCCCAATGAGTGCCGTCAAGCTGGCCACCCCACCCCACCCCCCATGGGGCACAGAGTCTCTGAGATTCACAGACAGACATCTTCACACTCTGGAAACAAACAAACAAGCAAATTGTCTCCTTCAAATTCCACTCCTCTTTCGCTCCCTCTTTTATTTCCTTTGGGAGACGCCATTCATCGTCCACCTGTGGCCTTACTCCCAAGTCGACACTTGTTCCATCTGCTGTTCCCTTCATCTGGCCATTCGGCGCATGCGCACACTGGGAACAGGCTCCAGCTGTTCTTCTGCCTCACTGATGTCCGACTCCGAAGGCAGCTGATAACTGTCGGACGGTCTTGGCCTTGTCTCTGCCTCCGACACAGAGCTCTTGTTAGAGCCCTCGTCAGAGCCTTCCCCAGACTCCAGGATTGTCCCATGTTCCTCCCCAACCTCCTCACTGTCCGACTCTGTGGTAGGCCCCAACACAGTGGTCGGAAGTCAAGGACTCCCCGTAGCTCCGATTCTCCGCTTTTTCCTCCCCAGGTAATGGAGGCCGACGACAACCAGATTGAGAGCCTCGAAGGGCTGCCCCCTCTGCCTTCTCTGGAGGAACTCTCTCTCCGTAACAACCGTATCCTTGCAAGGCGGGACGAGGCCAGTGTTAAAGGGGGACTGGGGAGATTGACGGGGAGGGGTGTCGGGATATCACTGAGCAAAGCCTCTCCTTAACTCGTTTTGCATCTCTCAGGCATCCAGCGAGCCTCCGCCCTCCGCAGCCTGGCCGCCTTCCCCGCCTTGGCTCAGCTCAGCCTGCAAGGAAACCCCCTGTGTCAAACCCCCGGCATCCAATCGGAGTTGGCCACGCTGCTCCCCAACATCGCCACTATCCTCACTTGATTTCCTGGGAGGGGGAGACAGCGCCAGGGACCCTTAATTTATTGCCAATTAAAAACATCCCAATCAGCCTTTTTGCTGTGTTTATTTATTTATTTGCATCCTGTTGTTGTTGTTGTTGTTGTTGTTATACAATTGTATCACAGCGGCCAGTTGTTTTGCCGGATTTGGCATTGGTTACTAGTCGGGCCCCACCCAGGGGCCTAGGACATTGTAACGTATTTTCGTAATATGAAATAGCAATAGCAATAGCAGTTAGACATATATCGCTTCATAAGGCTTTCANGAGCCGGTGAGATTAGAACCGCTGAACTGCAGATAACAGTCAGCTGAAGTGGCCTGCAGTACTGCACCCTAACCACTGCGCCACCTCGGCTCGTTATGGAAGCAAGAGATTTTTAAAAAACCTGTAGAGGACTTCAGGAAACCTATGAATGACTCATGTAATAACTTTATCAAAGTTCCTTTGTACTTGGAGTAAGAGGTGTCAGTTAGAAACGTTGAGCTAAGGCAGTAGGTATCTCATTTGAGTTCAACCCTATAAACGCAGGTATCGGTATGAATCAGATGGCGTTTCCCTCCCTACAAGTAGCATCCAGATGTGGAGATGGTCCCTCAGAGCTTTCCCCTGTCCAAGAATTCATCCTTGGACATAGAACTGATCGAGTCTTACAGCTGGGAGAAAACCTTTGCTTTTCTTCGCAATTCTTCTCCAGCATGTTGATTCTATCCCAGGATGCATGCAGCGAACATAACAAGGAAACATGGCTTAAGCTGAATGGTAGGCGGGGAACTGGTTTCATCTCAGCCGTCTTCATCTCAGTTGAGTGCCATTTGGAAGTCAACATCAACTTTGGGGAAATGGGGAAAGGAAGATGGTTCAGATGAGTTTTTACATATCTTCTGGTTCAGAAGCTGAAATGGGCTTCAATCATTTAGACGGATGAAGAGGAAGACGGAACCAATGTTGGCTTCCCAAGGTGAGTCTGAAGAGCATCCAAGATGTCATGTAGTTTTTGGTCAATCTGGGTGACCTGTTGGGAAACCAGAAGACAAACGTGCTCTGTTACTTTGCTCATTGAGGCATCTGTCAATCATGCCTCAAACCAGGAATGGGATTCCAGTGCTAAATCTGCCATAAACTTGTTTTATGGAAGGGGGTGGGGAATCATGGCCCTTGTATGACTTCTGGACTCTATGACCCTTTTATGACTAGTGTGGACTTCAACTCCCAGAATTCCTGAGGAATTCTGGGACTTGAAGTCTACAAGTCATGAAAGGCCCTGTTTTATGGAATGGATTTCAAACAAGACATAACAGCAAATCGGATCACATCTCCACCCACATAACAAAATGACTCCAAAAGCTGAGCTTTTGGATTGTGATAGCTTAAACACCAGAGGTGGGTTCCTACCAGTTCACACCAGTTTGGTAGAACCGGTTCGTCAAATCTACTGAACCAGTTAGAAGAGGTTCCAC